GTGTACATCGTGGCCGAGTTGGTTAAAAAATCGGATCTAACGACAGTTTCTCTTGGAGTGGGGCGCACTTTTCTCTTTAATAAGATTTCTCGAATATTAGGTCTTATTTAAATACATGCAGTGACCTACACCATCCACAACATACTCATTGATAATACAAGTATAATAGCCTTCTCCATATGTGAAAAGGGCTAAAAATAATGAAAAGTTTATTAATAAAAAAGATAAAGCCAATACTGAATAACATCAACTAAGAACACGGCCACAATGTGCTGATCATGTTTGGAAGTCAAAACGTTACTACATAAAACAATCCATAGATTCACTTAAAAGTAAAAAATAAAATCATCCCTGATAATGGCTAAACGTATAGCCGAAAGCGCTCGGACATACAGAACATTCGGATAATTTCTATAATAGCTTCATTTTTTTTTTAAGCATTTCACACCAAGCAAGGCGGGAGTGCCACTGGCACGCCAGGGGTTACAGAGAATTGGGAGCAAGAGTAAAGAGACGTGATTGAGGAAAGGATAAAGAGAAAAACGGGGAATTATATCAAGGCAACAGAAGACGTCGACTGAGCTTACATTTGAATATTTGAAGATTATAACTGTCAGGGAAGCAAGTAAGAGGAAGGGAGTTCCACAGATGGGAAGCGTGAGACATTATTGGAGTAGATGAGACGTCTACATTTAACTGTTTCGACAGTGAAAGGATGGGACTGAAATGCCAACCTTGTAACACACTTAAATTCATGCAGTTAGGGATATATAATAGCTTCATCCACACGCATGTTAAAAAAAAAGCCTAAAAATAAAATGTATACAAGTTTAATTGAAGGCGAATTTTTTATTTTACTGGGGTATTTTTGTTTGACTGAATATCTATACACATGGGGCTATTAATGGTAAAAAATGATAGAAGCGTTAATAATAAAAAAAGAAAAATCCATCTCTCTATAATATTAATTATGAACACGGCCACAACGTGCTGACAGTGTTAGTAAATTAAAAACATTTCCATCCGTATATATACACATACAAAATCTACATATTCAGTTAAAAAAAAACACATCCTTCATAATAGTTAATGTATTAGCCGAAAGCGCTCGAATCCAGAGATAATTTGAGCAGAAACATTTAATAAAAATCTTAATCACAGTGCCTTGTCAATCATCTTCAATGAAACTTCTATAAAAGAGGGATTGATACCCTAATAAACAAATATATATATATATATATATATATATATATATATATATATATATATATATATATATATGAGAATGAACATAGCCAGATATTAATTGAAGAGAAAAATGGCTTATTTGATATTAATTGTTATCTTTTTGACAGCTCAAAGATTTTCGTTAACGCCTATAAGTTAAAGATGACATTTCTCGTGATAATGACTCTATTTTTTAATCGTTAAGAGATTTATATCCACCCAAACTGCACTTGATAAACAAGTGTATTGGACGATGAGAAAGTCTTGACAAAGACGAAGAAGCCATAAAATTCACGATAACGCATTTTCATGCGGTGGCGTCGCGACCAAGGCGACATTGAACAAAAATAATTTTGGTTAGTTTGTATCAAACTTTTAGGTCATAAAAAATTTCAAATTAAATGTCTGACCAAATGGGTGGGAATCATTTCTTGCTCAGGCTAAGAAAAATTCAGCCACATTGTACATGGATAAAAAATCTTATCAAGCTAAAAAATCCCATTCAGTCATACCGTATATAGATGGATCAATATGTCTCTAGCCTAATAAATATTTACTACAGTGTAACCCGGATATAACAGACCCGGATATAAGAGAAACCCGGATACAAGAGAGATTTTCTCTGGTCCCAAATTAGAGCCTGTGTTAATGTATATAAAATAGACCAAACCCGGATATAAGAGAAACCCGGATATAAGAGACTTCTTCTCAGGTTCCGACAACTCTCTTATATCCGGGTTACACTGTAGTTGAAATTTGATCTATTTTCAGTGTATAGGACATTTAATAGGGTTAAAATTAATCAGTGAATTAAGGGCATTGACAGGGAAGGAGATTTTCTTAAAAAATAATAATAAATATTTGTTGCTTAATGAATGCCTTTTTCACTAATAGGTTATGGAGTTTTTATGTAGCGACGCTTGACGGTGGATAAATAAGTTCATAGTATTATATGTAATTAATTATAAGCGGAAACTTGATCTGAAATTTTCACTGTATAATGTTCGATCTATGTGGTTAATAGACATCACTGAAGTTCAGGGCCGGTGCAATGGTCTCGTAGGCCCCTACCGAATCTATGATACGGCCCCTACAATATATATCTTAATTTTCATAAAGTAGTATTAATTAGTGTATATTTTCATTTTCATAAGGTAGTATTCCTATAAAATACAAATTTTATTGCAGCCTAATTATGTACAATAATGGATCATCTGAAATATAGGTGAACAATTCAACTAGAGAAGTTGAAAATAAATACAATGTATCTAAGTACAAATTAAAGACATGTCATAATAGATCATAGATAGATCTAAAATAAACCAACAATGTTTTGCGGCAGTTTTTAAAATTAACTTGAGATTTTCCTTGCTAAAAAGTTGAATAATTTTAACAGATTCAACATTACGGATAAAAAATAATGAATTTTATATAGTTTTTTTTTTCGAGGCTTAGCATGAGCAAAACAAATTCATTGATTTAAACAAAAAAAAGAAAGAAAAGAAAAAGACCCCCAGAATAACGTCAACATCCGCCAAAACTTTTCATCCTTTAATAATCAGTTGTGCTTAGTTTAATTTGTAACGTATATAAATGTAGGTAGAAAAAAAGCAAATGTTGGTAAGATAGCGATGTTCATAAAACATTGTCTGGGGACACCCGATCAAGCCTGACACGCTTCCCGGTAGTGGGGTTCGGAGGTAGTACACATCGGCCCTGCTGATGCTTATAACAGGTAACAGGTTCCTCCACTAGGCATTTTTATTGAAGAAGGTGGCTAGTTAACCAGCAGAATTAAAAATAAGACTTGTGAAATATCAGATGAATCTTCTTGTTGTGTTAACTAGCACAGACTAGGCTCCATAGCTATGGATGCAGCCAGTGCGACGATGACACGACATCGCTTGAGGGAGAATTTCTTTGACTGAAATCAACAGCCAGGGCAGAGGATTGTTCCGATGGAATCAACGGCCAAGCAAACAGACTGTGGTTTTACCAGGAGAGGGATGGGTTCGGCCGGGTTTAATTACCCAAGCTACAATACGCGTGAATAAGTACTTCTTCGGCTTTCAAATCAAATATATAGCGGGATCGAGTCAGGTGCTCAACTACACAATGACGCTAGGACTAAACACTTATCATGAGACTGATGATGATGATGGTGATGATGATGATGCATTAGCAAATTACCTGCATTGACAAGGGAGGAGATGATGTTATCAAATAAATATTTGTTCCGTAAAATAAACACTTTTTAATCATTACTCTACAAAAATTGGTCACTTTGACATGGTGTAATGGTTAGCAAGTTTGTTTCGCTAGATCAATACTCGCTGGGTGCCCCATACTTTTGGCCTTGTGCCACATCTAAACTACGCTTAGAAAATAACCATTACTCTAGGAATTTATTAAAGCAACATACAATCACACACACACACACACATATATATATATACACGTAGTCGTCGACTTACGACTACGATTGATTACGACCGACAGGTCATAAATCGAACTGGTCGTAAGTCGGCCTGTAATTAATTTTACAATCTTTTTATCTTTCTTTAGTCATCATTATTATAAATAATTTTTATGTTTATTTTTTTGTGGTTGATACCATTTGTATTAAAAGCTTTCCACATATTGTTTTGTTTCTTATTTTTACGTTGATGGGTAAAAAAAGACAATTTCCTCTTGGTAGAGATTGGAGGCGGGGTTGAAAAAAATTTCAAAGACACAGACAAACGGACGAGGGGAACAGTGTGTTGTACCGCAGCTCTTCTGATACTGAGCTTGAGGCGGCAAGGGAATGCTAGCGATGCCGGGCGCTGGGTAAATTGACGTACACCAAGTTAGAGAACACTCACGATGCCAGACGCGGAGCAGTCGCAGACAAACGGCCAGACATACCAATTCGCGGTCGTGACATAATGTCGAACAGTCGTAAGTCGCATAGATCGTAAGTCGACTCATATATATAATATATTTATTACTGTTGAAATAGCTAAACGCAGCTGCCATTTCTATTCCAAAAGTTTTATTTCTCGTAGCTCTCACATTGCTTTCCTTATAACAACGATCTTACAAAGTTTAAATGCCACGTCAATCATCATTTTCTGTCTTCTTGAATCCCTTTCATCTTTTGTTCTTTCCTCAGTCCTCCCTAATCTCACTCTTCACTTTCAGTTTCGCTTCCTGTAACGCCCTGCGTACTAGTGGAATTACTGCCCTATTTCAGGTGAAATGATATATACATACATTATATATATATATATATATATAATGTTTGTGAAAGATTGTAGAAAAATAGATTTAAGTAATATCACTAAAATTATAATTTGATTCATTTTTGTGCACAAAATACGTTCCGATTTGAATTACTTCATTCGCATATATTAACCAATCAACGATGTTATTTCGAACGCGCTGAAGCTTTTGAAAAATCAAACAACTTGTTTGCTACGAGATCTGAGAGCTCACTCTAGAAAATGATCAACAATATTTTTCTTCCTAAAAATAGATATTTAAAAATTGGGAAAAATATTTATTAACTAATAAACTTTGGGGAATAGCAAAAAGAAATACATTGCTAAGATTGTCAAAGAATAGGAAGTTGTGGAGAGTTATCATCGCCTATATCCTGAAGGGACACAGCACATAGAAATCTTTCGACCAAGTTGAGGAAATTTTCAACATGTGAAGGGCTAAAATAAGGGGTTAAAATATTTGCTATAGCTTTCGCTTGTCTATGAGTAACACTTCCAGATACAATGGGTTTACGACCATATCAGGTTGAAATTCCAGTTCCCGTACGATCACTAAAGTTAAGCAACTTCGAGCCTGGTCAGGGTGACCGGTTGGGAATATCAGGTGCTGTAAGCTTAGATGTGCGGGTGGTGATAACAGCTGGGAATTGGAAATCAGAGAGCCGTGTTCCAATTCCAGTTAGGTTCGTTATATTCACGTACGCACAAATAACCTTGGGAAAGGCATCAATCCACCCCTCCTCCCTCTAGCTATAGGTTTATTAGTAGGACTTGTATCAGCAGATCCTTATTATCTTCAAAAGAATAAAAAAAATCTTCTGCCTTAAATAATCTGAAAAATATTGATAAACCGTAAAGAACAATAGAATGCCTACTTTTGGTGTTATGGTAGACTGTAGATTTTAGAATTTAGTTTTTTTTTTTAACAGTGGTCCTCATCTTTTCTGACGAATGCACCCTTTTTACCATATGTCAGAAAGTTATCTTTCCAAGATTGTTTTACTCAAAAAGTGCATTCCAAATAATATGCATCATATTACTGAAAATCATCATTCTATTCAATGTTAGTAAATATATATTTACATGGATAGTAAGTTAATAAGAGAAGTTTTACAAATTTAATAGCAATAAAAAATGTTGGTAGATTTTTAATCATGAATACATGTACAATAATTTGTTTTAATTCATAACTTAAATCTTAAGTTATTAAGTGGGAATTTCAACGTTTGTCTCGCTCGATCAATTACGACTGAATAGTGAGTTCGATCCTCATTGGGAGGCCTATATTTCGGCCTTGTGTCGTATCTAAGCTACGCTTAGAAAATCACCATAACTAGTTATTAAGTAGGGACTTCGACGCGGTGTTATGGTTAACATGGTTGTCTCTTTAGATCAATTACTACTGAATAGTAAGTTCGATCCACACTGGGTGCCACATACTTCCTGCCTTCTGCCACATCTAATCTATTCTTAGAAATCATTTTGGGACACAATATGGTGTAATGTTTAGCAAACATGTCTCGCTAGATCAATTACGACTGAGTAGTGAGCTCGATCCTCACTGGCTGTCCCAAACATTCGGCCTTGTACCGCATCTAAGCTACGCGTAGAAAATCACCGTAAATAATTATTAAATCAATACACTGAAGCATACGTCAATAAACAAAACATTCAATAGATTACCAGGATATTGTAATTCAATAAACAAAAAGTCCAATAAAAAGTCAGGATATTTAAAATCGATTTTATTCTGATGAAAATTACAGTCAATGAAATACTTGTGAAAAAATAAAAGATTTTTTTATCTCACCCACTGAAACTCTGAAACTCCTTCGTGGGTGTGAGTTTCCGCCCTGGTGGACAATACATGTTTTAGAATGACATTCAATCAATTTTGACCATGTCTTACCCTCATCATTTAACTTTATATTCGATTTGTTGATTTTTTTTTATTTTATGTCCATTGATTTTTTCGGAAGCATCTGTGTCATGGAGTAACAGTTTGACTTTTCCGTTGAAGGTGTTCTTAGTCATGGTAATAATCCCGCCTATTTTGTTCGAGGCAATCATGCAAATCTTTTGGTTAAATTTGTATAGCGCTTTTATGCGTCTGTGGTAACGTTGTTTCGATGTCTTCCTACAAAAAACACACCAAGAAATTATTCCTTTAAAATATCACCTGATTTACAGTCTGGTGCACAAAAAAATGAATAAATAAAAATAAATAAATAAATAAAAATAAAATAAAATAAAAATATAAAAGCACAAAAAAATGATTAAAATGTTTAATATTTATCCGAAGTTGTAGTATGGTCTCATCATTTGAAATAGCTGCTAGATGTAACCGCATATTATATGCTAACAGTTTCTTTTCCCGTACTTCTCGATGGTGGAACTCTTTTCCAGCTTTTCAGTCAAGTTTGATTTTCAAAAATTTAAATGCAATTTCAATCGTTATCTTCTGTCTTCTTAATTCTTGTTTTTATTTTTTTTTATTGTTCCCGCCCCTTAATATTGTTTTCCTTTTTCTTATAATCTTTGATATTCAGTAACCCCTGCCGTCTTATTGGTTTAGGTTGAAATGTTTAAAAACAAAAAAATATCCAATGAAAAATATTATGTTTGGTATTGGAAATGCTCATCTCGTACTTAATGGATATTAAGCTTTTCAACCTTTCGGAGATTCAAGAGAAGTAAAACTTTCTCTCCATCCAATCCTCTCGCTCTCTTTCTCTCTCTGTATATATATATATATATATATATATATATATATATATATATATATATATATATATATATATATATATATATATATATATATTTTCTGTTTATACGTTTTTTTATATATAATTTATTTAAGTAAATACTCTGTTTTTAATTAAATAGTGTTAATTACATTTACAGGCCTGAATATACGAGAAATTTCATAGAAAATATGCGCTCTCCGACAGGAATCGAACCAGTGACCCTCATGGGAACAGTCATATGATCTGACGAAATTTCGCAAACATTCCACTCGGTAAATGTAATTAATATTGTTTAATTAAAAAACTGAGCATTAACTTAAATCAATTATATCTATAAAAACAACGTACAAACAGAAAGTATTTTAAATAATTGTCAGATTTAGTCCATTTCATTATACATATATACATATATATATATATATATATATATATATATATTCGCTTCTAGCGTCTTATATGCACGTGTTTATCGTTGCTTAGAAATCATCTATGTAAACATTGACAGACTATCATCACTGTCTTGTCCGTATATTGCTTAATATGTTGTAATTGACATCTTTGATAATGGCTTATGTAAGCCGAAAGCTTAGATTGTATTAAAAAATATGGATCAATATTTAGAATTTCTTTCTTTGTTCAACGATAATGTTATTAAACTTATCAGATGTTACGAAAAAAGTTTACATAAAATAAATAGACAACACTTGTCTATATTATTTAATGAAACGTGTATGAAAATTCACAACTCAAGAATGAACCAAAATCTTGAAATTTTATTTTATACTTAATCAAATATTTGTTTAGCGGATAATTTAGTCAAATTCCGAAATTTTATTGCTACCACTTTCTTCTGATTTGACACTTCCCGATTATTTTCTTTGGTGATACCTTAAGTGGGTATATGCATCATTAAACCGCAAATAATTTAGCAACTCAAGGATAACATCTGTACAAATATTTGAGAATTTTAGTCTGTGTTATCAAACACTGTTATGGAGAAAGCTATAGAAAGTACGCGACTGTGTGACGGAAAAAAATGGAAGATACTGACGACGTATAATTTTTCATGATTAAATGGAAATAGGTACCCAGTGTTTTAATTTTCATTCTGTATAAAATTATTTTTGAATAATAAAAAAATAAAAAATGTTGAAATTACTACAGTTTTAAAACATGAGGTGACTTTGGGGTCATAAAACAGAATTAAAGCCATAGGCTTTGAGAAAACATTGGACGCCAGAAAAAATTTCCTATTTCCATTTAATCCTTATTTTAAAAAAAAAGCTATTATGTAAATTTTTGTAACTTTGTAAAATATTTATGCATTACACCCTAATCTTTATTCGCTAAAAATTTCATTGCTAATCATGCATTACTTTTTAAGTAATACACATATTTATGTCTTTGTTGTTTCCGTTCCTTATATTATGGCCGCTATTGTATATATATATATATATATATATATATATATATATATATATATATATATATATATATATATATATATATATATATATATATAGTTCTTTTGATTTTCACAGATATGTTTGTAATATGTAGTAACAGTCATACCTTTTCATTGTAGATATTATTATTTATGATAATAATCCATCCTCATTTGCTGAAGTCAGGGAGAGAAATGTCCGTAGGTTTGGATATTTTTTTTTAGTGTTTTAGTATGTCTTAGTGGAAACAACGAAGCCACCCGTAAGTCTGTACAAGTTTTGACGTGGCACTTCTTGTCACAAATGGGATGGGAATTCTTTTATACACATTCAATGTTTTTCGTTTTAATTAACAACCGTTGTGAACTGTCCGAAAAAGGAAGCTACATCTTTTAACATTTCTCTAAGAACCTGCCTTGGATTATTATTATTTTTTTAACTTGTTTTTTTTCTCTTTTAAACCGAGGCTCACCTGAAATAGCAAAATAACTTCTATCCAAAGATTCTCATGCGCCTCCGTTCTCTGAACCTTACAGCTATTTTCGGATTCACTTTCTGTTTGCAAACTAAAGAAATTTTTTCCCGGCATAGCCGTCGGCCATCTGCTAACAAAAATATGCTTTTACATTAGCTTAAAAAAAAAAAAACCTTTTTAACACAGATGCAGATACCAAACTATCTCCGCCAAGTCCACTTTTACTTGGGAGAATAAATCAAGAAAAGCAGACGCCACAGCGAAGGCCACAGCTAGAACTTGTAATGTTTTCGGTTATTGTTTAGTTGTAAAGCGGCAAACGGCTAGTCATGAACTATGGGCTGCTATCCTTATGTCATTGGACGGTAAAGTGGTAGAAAAATACGTTATTATTATTATTATTATTATTATTATTGTTGTTGTTGTTGTTGTTGTTGTTCTTGTTGCTATTGTTGTTAGAACTGTTTGCGGAATATTAATAAAATATTACATATAGAAGGATTATTCAGTAAAAATATGGTTCTACAGACAGTTGAAATTTCGTAGACATACAATGAGGAAAGAAGGCTCGGAGAATGTGACACTCAAAGTACATATCGAAGGTAAAAGCGAAAGGGGGAAATAGCGAATAACCTACGTAACTTGTTTGTGTAAATGGACTGTAGAACGGGAAGTGGGTGGTATGGCGAAGAGACAATTATTCTAAGAGCTACAAAGAATAGGAAGTTGTAAAAAGCCCTGGTCACCCACGTCCTGAAGAGTCACGGCACATAGTGATTTTTATTAATAAACTATGAACGACTCGTAATAGCGTTTGTCAGATATGTTCGTATCATTTCAACATGGAATAAAAAGGAAAATAAGATTGAATCATAAAATATATACATGAAGAAAATATAAATATGAAAAATTAACAAAAATATGAAAATTGTATTTAAAATGTTATA